GATAAAATTATAAAAATGCATTTATACGAATATCTTAATTATATGAAAGATACGTAAATATTGAACGGGTTTTTTCAGCTAAAAATACGTAGCGATTTGTACGTTTTAAACGTTGAAATACGTCTAAATTGTACGTTTTAGCATAAATAAAAACGTATAAAAATTTACGTTTTGTGCTTGTAAATGTTACGTATTAATACCTACGTATAAACATGAGACCAGGCTGGATATTAGCCTACTTTCCCTTTTATACAATAGTTTAATAAAAAAAAAAAAAAGTAATATAAACCAATTATTGTCAGTTACTTTGTCTGCATTTCCTCAAACCACCGAAAATAATTAATCTAAATACATTATACTGACACTCATAAAGACTGTCACTCATTGCCACTGGTGCATATATATAACCTGCTTAAAGAGTCACTCAAATCCCCACCACTAAAACACAGTCTGACAATCTGAACAAGCACAGACAAGCTGTGAAAAGTCCCAGTGCTGACTGTATATCAGGACTCTTGTAGGACCACAACTAAACTATTCTATACGTACTTGTCTGAGTTTTTGATGTCTTGAATCTTCTTGATTCTGTCCTGGATCATATGCTGCACGTCACTCTGTGTCTTCATCAGTTGAGTCTATAGACAGAGATCAACACAGACACATTCATCATAATAGAGATTTGCTGTATTTTGTCCAAATATAAGTACTTATTATAAGTGTACAGTAGTGATTCGGAATAAGACAAAAACGCGGTTTGGAAGATCGAAATCGCTTATTGATAAAATTATAAAAATGCATTTATACGAATATCTTAATTATATGAAAGATACGTAAATATTGAACGTTTTTTTTCAGCTACAAATACGTAGCGATTTGTACGTTTTAAACGTTGAAATACGTCTAAATTGTACGTTTTAGCATAAATAAAAACGTATAAAAATTTACGTTTTGTGCTTGTAAATGTTACGTATTAATACCTACGTATAAACATGAGACCAGGCTGGATATTAGCCTACTTTCCCTTTTATACAATAGTTTAATAAAAAAAAAAAAAAGTAATATAAACCAATTATTGTCAGTTACTTTGTCTGCATTTCCTCAAACCACCGAAAATAATTAATCTAAATACATTATACTGACACTCATAAAGACTGTCACTCATTGCCACTGGTGCATATATATAACCTGCTTAAAGAGTCACTCAAATCCCCACCACTAAAACACAGTCTGACAATCTGAACAAGCACAGACAAGCTGTGAAAAGTCCCAGTGCTGACTGTATATCAGGACTCTTGTAGGACCACAACTAAACTATTCTATACGTACTTGTCTGAGTTTTTGATGTCTTGAATCTTCTTGATTCTGTCCTGGATCATATGCTGCACGTCACTCTGTGTCTTCATCAGTTGAGTCTATAGACAGAGATCAACACAGACACATTCATCATAATAGAGATTTGCTGTATTTTGAAAAAAGTCATGCAATTGTTTTAATTTCACAAAAATAAATAAAATGACATGAGCCCTTTTTTGTTAGTAACGTCTACCTTCTTCTCTTCACTCTCTTCTTCTAGAGGAACAGTGTTGTGGTTCTTGTTCTTGTCTGTCGCAGTGCACATCAGACACACACATGTCTGATCATCTCTACAGAACAGCTCCAGAGGTCTCTCATGTTTCTGACATATACAGTCCTCCAGATTTGTCACAGGATCCATCAGTTTGTGTTTCTTTAAACCTGCCACTCTCAAATGAGGCTCCAGGTGAGTTTCACAGTAAGAGGTCTGACACACCAGACACGACTTCAGGGCTTTCAGCTTTCTTTCCTCACAGATGTCACACACAACTTCAGGCTTTTTCTCAGGACTTTTCTTCTTATAGTGATCTACGAGCTCTCGGAGTGTGGTATTAATCTTGAGATCAGGGCTTTGCTTGAATGTTTCTTTACAGTATGGACAGCTGCAGGTCTGGCTGTTGTCCCAGCACCAAATGAGGCTCCAGGTGAGTTTCACAGTAAGAGCTCTGACACGCCAGACACGACTTCAGAGCTTTCAGCTTTCTTTCCTCACAGATGTCACACAGAACTTCACTGAAAATCACACGTTTTTTCTAAAGACTTTTCTTTTTATAGTGATCTACGATCTCTCGGAGTGTGGTATTAATCTTGAGATCAGGGCTTTGCTTGAATGTTTCTTTACAGTATGGACAGCTACAGATCTGGCAGTTGTCCCAGCACTTATTCAGACAGGTCTTGCAGAAGTTGTGTCCACATGGAGTGCTGACTGGATCAGTGAACACATCCAGACATATAGAGCACTTAAGTTCAGTCAGTGGACCACTGGAGGATGACATAACTGGAAAGATAAATTATAAATCACATATGCTAAAAATTAATATGATGATAGTGACTATTTTAAATGGATGATTTAGAGCAGATGGAGAAGGAAAATAATCAACTATAGTTTATAAAGAATGCCATGATGCACTTTATGAAGCTGCTTGAATATAAACAGTGTTATTGACTTACATGGAGGATCATTTATACACTGTAAAAAAAATTCCGTAAAATTTATGGTAAAAAAACCGCAGCTGTGGTTATCGGAATTTTACCGTAAAAAATACGGTAGCAACGTTTTAGGTTTTACGGTTTTAACTTAAATTTACAGTTAAATACCGTAATTTCATTAACTGATATAATGTTAATATACCAACCTACTGAAGTACTGAAATCTGTTTTGTACCTTTGTAATACACTGATAACCACCAAATGCAGGTGGTGATGAGAAAGTCACATGATGAACCAAAGCCCATCACAAGCAGCTTTTAAATAATAACATATATAGAAGGTGCACAGTGTCATTCACACAAACACTAAACACCATCATGGTAACCCACGTGAACCTGAAATAATGCAATAACATTCATTTAACAACATTAGGTGTAACACACAACCCTAATATACAAAACTGATAAGAAAAAACTAAGAAGGAACATAGTTATTTCAACAAAACAACATCAAATTTGAAATGTAACGCAGGGAATTCTGGGAATGTCAATTTACGGTTATTCACTGTAAATTATACGGTATTTTTCACTTCCAAAAAACGGTATACTACCGTAAAATTTATGTCCAATACATATAATGTCCAATTCAGTTTTTCATCGTATATAGTAGGGGAATTTACCGTTAACCATTTAACAGGTTTTTACTGTAGCATTTTTACAGTCTTTTACCGTTAAATTCACGGTCATTTTTTACAGTGTAGGCCTACTCCGTCTCCTGGTTTTTCTTGCATTTGTTGATGTTAAGTTCAGAAACAGCAAGCACAAAGTACCGATAATATAATTAACTACAAGTCAATATAACTCCACAAGCTAAACAGTTATATTTTATGACCAAGTGTAGTTTTAATCTTGTTTTATGTAAATGTGATTTTCAGCTGCAGTGTTGCAGGTTTGTGATCAGTCTGTCTGCAGGTCACTTAAGCCTTCCTGTTTCTTTAGTCTTATGCCGTGTCCAAATACCCACACTTGCGGTCTTTACACTTGACCACTTGACTACTTACATGATGTGTTTCCTGTATTTGGGCCAAGTGTTCAAGTGAGGATGAAGCCCACAAGTCTGTGTAGAACTTTTCATTACCTGATGGGTCACACTTATAGTGTTGTAAAAATGCAAGTGTTACATAGCTTTATTTTTATTTTAAATACTTTGCATTTTAAAATCAACTTCTAAATGTCTGTTCAGTAGTCCCTATTCAATTCAATTCAATTACAATTTAAATGTATAGTTGCAAATGTTGTACAAACTAAATATCACCACTACTCATCTTTGCACCAATAAAACGTGCAACACTTTGTTTTTCTACCAAATTATATGTAATATCTAATTATTATATTCATATTTAACTTACATTGGAAAGCTTTCTGTGACCTCTCGTGAGATCTCAGCAAAAAGTCACACAATTTTTTCCAAAACATGACTAAGTGTCAAATAGTGCTCTGGAGCGGTATTCAAGATAGTGTGGATAAAGGGCGCTGCGCTTTAGCTTTTTAAGACCTGGGACAGTCTTGCGCACTTAGTTTCTGTAACTTTCTTACTTTCTCAAGTGACCAAGTGTGGGCGTTTGGACGAGGCATCTGTATAATGTGTGACAAAATGACTGAAACACTAAATTTTACTTCCAATAAAATGACTTGCTGACATACAATTCTGATACCGTTTCAATGCAGCAAACAACTAAAGTAGTGGAGTATTTGACATGCTAAACATGGCTCTGTTTAACTTATTCCAGTTTGACATAAACCCTACTAAACCAGACCACTTCCACAGGAAACCTGTTCAGGACAATCTCTCTTATATTTCTATCACTTACCTTTGCGTTTCAGATTTGTTCACAATGGTCTTTGAACGGCTTGATAAATATTCAGTTGTTTAAAGATTGTTTTAGTCGTCTATATCATTGTTGATCAAGTTAGTTTCATTTACTATCCCTTCTAAAGTAAAGAAGAGATCTCTTATTTTTGATTTTCCTGAAGATAAAGTAGTTCGAATTAGAACAAGATTTCTCTCTTTTCCACTTCTTCCAAAGGCAGAAGAAGTTCAGTTTAAAATTATTTACAATATTTATCCCTGTAATGAGTTCCTCAGATCTCGGTTTAATTTGGATTGTAATAAATGCACCTTTTGTGAAGCAGACATAGAGTCATTGGAACATTTGTTTTATTTATGCAAATTCTCAAAAAAATTATGGGATGACCTCAATGCTTGGTTAAGTTAAGTATGTAATACCTGACTTTGATTTTAAAACTGTAAAATATTTGTCCTTTTGTCGAAATTGTGATGTTGAATTTTTGGTTAATAATATTGGACAATGAAGCTGAAACACCTGGTTTTAGACCACAAAAACTTTTTAGTACGGTGTAGGGCCTGCTTTTGCGGCCAATACAGCATCAATTCGTCTTGGGTTGTTAATTTTCTGTTTTTCCTTTTTTCTGATGTGGTCAACATTTCCACCCTGTAAAGGGAAATATGTAGAAAGTAAATAGAAATTCTTATTTGTAAAAGTAGCATTAAGTAGCAAAAAAACAACAACATTCAATTCTTCATTTGATAGATGTTCTGTGTTAGCATTTTTTTGCTGACTTAGTGCAATAGCTGATATTATGTCAAAATGTCCACTCTGTTAGTGTCCACCCTGTAAAGTCAGATAAAGTCAGAAAACCTAACAGGGTGGACACATTTATTGTACATAGTGATAATGACAGCAATTGATGTTTAAGTGTTATGATGTCCAAAAGGCCATGTACACATTTACATGTACAATGACCCATGTACACATTTACATTTGTCTCTGTATTCGGTTTGTTGGGTTCATGGGTATCTGTTTGTATTGAGCCTGATGATCAGATTAATCTCAGTGTTTATATATAACCTATAGTGAACCAAAGAATAAACACATAACACATGTCAGGATTATTTATCATGACTTTGAAAGTCTCTCCTGATATTCTCTGGGCTCCTCAGTGGATTTGACACAAAACACATCGAACACAAAACAATCTACTCACAACAAGGACTAGACAGAAGAGAAATATAAAGGAAAGGGTAATAAGTGACAGGTGGAGTAGAAGCAGCTCATGATCAGCGCTGATTGCACCGGTCACGAGCCGCTGAAAAAGACATGACAACATAAACAGCAGAGGGAGCCAGGAAGGCACCCTGACCTGTGACAGTACCCCTCCCCTCAGGGACGCATCCTGGACTCACCATGACGCCGATGGAACTGGTCGATGAGAGCGCGATCCAGAATGTTGCGAGCCGGAACCCAGCATCTCTCCTCCGGACCATAACCCATAACCCATAATCTACCAGGTATTGGTGACCTCTACCCCTACGCCTCACATCGATCAGCCGCCGTACCATATAAGCCAGCGACCCCTCGATGAGTCTGGGAGGCGGGCGGGCAGAGGTCTGGGCTGAAGGGGGGAGCGAATAACGGGGTTGATCTTAGATACGTGAAAAACCGGGTGAATATTCTTAAATGGGGGGGTTAACTTGAGTCGCACCGACACTGGACTGAGCACTTTAGAAATGATAAACGGTCCAACGAATTTGGGTCCCAGTTTACGTGAGGGGAGTCTGAAGTGAATGTCCTGAGAAGACAACCAGACCTTCTGATCGCACACGTAAAGTGGGGGCTTAGTACGGTGATGGTCCGCCGACGCTTTGCTCCTTCCGCTTCTCTGAGGGCTTCTCTGGCGATCCTCCAAGTACGGAGGCACCTCTGAATGAACGCATGCGCGGATGGAACAACAGCGTTGGATTGTTGGGAGGGGAATAATGGTGGCTGTTAGCCTAAACAGCACTGGAAGGGAGACAAACCCGTAGACGAGACCGGGAGGGAGTTATGTGCGTACTCTACCATAGTTAATCTGGAACTCCAAGACGACGGTTTGGCAGACGCAACACAGCATAGAACCCTCTCCAAATCCTGGTTAGCACACTCGGCCTGCCCATTAGGCTGTGGGTGATAACCAGAGGATAAACTCACAGTCGCCCCCAGCTGTCGACAGAATTCTGTCCAAAACCTAGACACAAAGTGGGGACCCCTGTCAGAAACCACGTTCACCGGGAGGCCATGAATACGGAAAACGTGATCCAAGACAACAGACGCTGTCTCCCTCGCTCAGGGTAATTTGGGGAGGGGAATGAAATGAGCCGCCTTAGAGAACCTGTCCACCACAGTGAGGACTACCGTCATGCCACTAGATGGGGGTAGGCCGGTGACGAAGTCCATCGCTATGTGTGACCAGGGCTGCGAAGTGACTGACAGTGGCTGGAGTAGCCCTGCTGGGGGTCGATTGGAGCACTTACCCGCAGCACAAACCGGACAGGCCGACATGAACTGACGCGCCATGGACGGCCACCAAAACCGCTGCTTGATCAACATGCAGGTGCGAGTCGCTCCTAGGTGGCAAGCTAGTTCGGATGAGTGGCCCCACTGTAGGATGCTATTTCGGACTGACTTGGGCACAAACAACAGACCCTCAATATCAGTGTCGCGTAATGCCGGGCGGACCTTGGATTCCACCCCCCAGGTGACCGCTGCACAGGGAGGGTGGGACTAGCCTCAGCCTCAAAGATCCGCGACGCATCGGGTTTACTATTCTTTGACCCCGGGTGGTAAGAGATGGTAAACCTAAACCGCCTGAAAAACAATGCCCAGCGAGCCTGCCGAGAATTTAGTCTCTTAGCGGTGCGGATGTTTTCGAGGTTTTTGTGGTCAGTCCAAACAATAAAAGCAACCCCCATGCCCTCTAACCAGTGACGCCACTCCTCCAGAGCCAGCTTAACAGCAAGTAACTCCCTATTCCCGATGTCGTAATTCCGTTCCGAGGGGGTTAAATGATGAGAAAACAAGGTGCAGGGATGTATTCTCTCGTCCGAGGGTGATCTTTGGGACAAAATAGCCCCAACCCCCACCTCTGATGCATCCACCTCCACAATGAACTGATGAGACGGGTCGGGTGTGGTTAAAATGGAAGCCGAAACAAAGGGACTCTTAAGATTTTCAAACACAGTCTGAGCCTGCGATGACCAACCGTAACGCTTCCTAGTAGAGGTGAGATCAGTCAGAGGAAGGGCGACCTGACTAAAGTTCCGCATGAACCGCCTGTAAAAATTAATAATAATAATAATAATTAGTTACATTTATATAGCGCTTTTCTGGGTACTCAAAGAGCTTAACATGAAAGCGGGGGAATCTCCTCAACCACCACCAGTGTGGAGCATCCACCTGGATGATGCGATGGCAGCCATATTGCGCCAGAATGCCCACCACACACCAGCTTGGCAAAATTGGCAAACCCCAGAAATAGCTGGACCGCTCTACGACTATCTGGGGTGGGCTAATCAGCAACTGCTTTTACTTTGGCAGGATCCATTCGGATACCCTCGGGAGAGAGGATAAATCCCAGGAATGGAACAGACCGTGCGTGAAACTCACACTTCTCCACCTTGGCGAATAAACGATTCTCAAGTAACCACTGGAGCACTTGCCTGATGTGCTGGACATGATCGCGTTCGTTCTGGGAGAAGATCAGAATATCATCCAGGTAAACAAAAACAAACCGGTCGACCATGTCTCTGAGCACGTCATTGACGAGTGCCTGGAAGACCACCGGAGAGTTAGAAAGCCCAAACGGCATGACCAAATACTCAAAGTGCTCCGTAGGGGTGTTAAAGGCGGTCTTCCATTCATCCCCCTCCCTATTCTAAACTAAGTGATAAGCGTTGCGGAGGTACAACTTCGTAAAGATGGTAGCCCCCTGCAAGAGCTCGAAGGCGGATGACATCAACGGCAAAGGATAACGATTCTTCACCGTGATGCCATTCAACCCCCGATAGTCTATGCAGGGGCGCAACGAACCATCCTTCTTCTCCACGAAGAAGATCCCCGCCCCAGCCGGAGAGGAAGAGGGTCGGATGATGCCTGCTATCTGAGAATCGTGAATATACCTCGTCATGGCCTCCCTCTGGACAGAGAGTAAAGGCGCCCCTTAGGAGGAGAAGTGCCATGCAACAGGTCTATCGCACAGTCGTACGGGTGATGCGGAGGCAGAGATGAAGCTCAGGACTTACTGAAAACCACTCTAAAGTCATGGTAAGCCTCCGGTACACCCGCCAGGTTCACCGGCTCCTCCTGCAACAAAGAACGAGACATAACAGGGGAGAATGCAATGCCCAAACATTGAGCTAAACAAAAAGGGCTCCAAGTTAAAACAGAGTTGAGAGCCCAGTCAATGTGAGGATTATGTTTGACTAGCCAGGTGTGCCCCAAAACCACTTGGGCGGTGGGTGAGTGAATAAGGAGAAAATGGATCTCCTCGACATGATTGCCGGAGAGCGTTAGTGTAACGAACTTAGTAGCATGGGTAATTCTGGAAAGAAGGGTGCCACAAAGTGTTCTGGCCGATATAGGCTCAGTCAGAGCAACGGAAGGAATCTCCAAGCGCGTGGCCAGCCCGGCATCCATGAAATTGCCCTCTGCTCCGGAGTCAATAAACGCAGACACTTGATAAGCAGCCCCCTTGACCAGCAATGAGGCTTGAAACTCAGACCGACCACCAGAGGGCAATCAAGCTCTAGTAACTCTCACCTTCTGCCCTCCCTTGAGCGGTAAACGCTGCCTAGCGGCTGGGCACGCAGCAACCACGTGACTGGCCTCTCCGCAGTAGAGACACAGTTGGGTGTCCAGGCGACGACGCCGCTCCCTCACAGTCAACCAAGCTCTCCCAACCTGCATAGGCTCATCCTCGGGGAAGTCGAGACGTTGAGATGGCGTGTCACTAGACGCTGCAGACACAGCTCGAGATAAACCACGCCCCTCTGATGCCGGGAACGAAGAGTAATGCGGTTATCCACCCGAATGGCGAGGTCGATGAGTCCGTCCAGGCTCGAGAGTAATTCAAGGGAATAGATTTCATCCTTGATATGCTTTGCCAGACCGTGGAGAAAGTGATCCCAAAGAGCCTTGTCGTTCCAGCCACAGGATGCCGCAAGTGTGCAAAACTTGATCGAGTAGCTGGATACTGGACCTTCTGCCTGCCATAGCAGCGCCAAGGCTCGTGCTGCTTCAGTTCCCTGAGAAGCTCTCAAAGGAGGAACAGCAGTTGTGCTCATTATCCCACATGGCCGTTCCCCACTCTCTCGCTAGACCCACCAAGAGCGTGATGGTGAAAGCTACCTTGGACCGCTCCGTGGGAAAACAGGAAGGCTGCAGCGAGAAAGTCAGAGAGCATTGGGACAAAAAGGAGCTACATGTGTTAGGCTCACCCGAGTAAGAAGCAGGAGGATTGAGCCTTGGTTCAGTGTGACGGTTACTAGTTCCATCGGGATCGGGAGGAGGGGTTGCCGTTGGAGCCGTGGGAGGGCTGTTGTGTAGCTGATCAAACCGTTCAACCAGCTGGTTAAGCTGGAGAGAGATCAATTTGTACGTAAACATGTAAAAGATTATAGATTTTAAAAACTACGTATATGAACAATTAATCCTTTGAATAGTAGCACACACCATACATACCAGACCCAATAACATACATAATTAATACATTTTTTTGAATTATAAAAATAATTATTCATCCAGTATTTTATACAAGTGGTGTAAATGTATTTATTGTAACTGACTGGTGTGATGATCAGTGGGGATGAGTTCTGACCTCTATTATTGGAGCCTGGGCTAAAATATGGATAGAGTTTGTCTGTGAATGACTGACCAGTGAAAGAGTAGATAAGAGAGCTGGACTCCACATCATAAAAGGAGACCAGACCCTCCTCATAATCCACAAACACACCGACCCGCTGCCTTGTCTCTCTCACTCAGACACAGGGAGGTGAAGGGTTCAGCACAGGCAAAAAATTCCTTCCCTTTCCTCAGAACCACAGTCCAGTATCCATCCTCAGGTTTCAGTGTGATCTTTCCTTTCCTGGTCAGTGGATTCTCTGGCCACTCCTAAAGTCCAATCAGTCTTTCCTTGCACCTGCACCTCAAAATAAAATCTCTCTGAGGAGAATCCCTCCTTTCTCAGGACACAAGGATATGTATCAAATCTCTCTAGTTTGTCTGGTAGTTTCTGCTCAGTGTCTCCATGTCTCACTTGTTTTCCATCATCAGACAGGATGAGGTTTGGATGAGCTGTATCAGGATCCAGAGTCGCATCCACTGAGAAAACAGAGAATATGAATCACAACCTCAAAATAGATATTTTGTAATGACTAATCAATTGATTGATTCATTGTTTATAATTTAACGCCAGCTACCACAGCTATATTCATGGCGGGGAAAAAAGAGAAATATAAAACAACAAAATAAAAAAGGTTATTTTTAAAAAAAATTTATGTTTGATTAAAAAAAACAAATCTGGTCTCACTTTATTAAAAAAATTTTTTATAAGAATCAACTGAAAAATAAAGAGTCCTAAAAGAGTTCAAGACATCACAGTCCATTAAAATATGCTCAATGGACTCAAGAAAGGCAATAAAGGAGGATTTTCACCCATTAGCAAAATCTTATGGGTTTGTTTGAAGTGACCTGTTAGACAACAAATGTAGACAATACAGTCACAGTGATTATCAAAATTTAAATAACGTTTTGATATTTTGTAATGTTGTTTTAATAGGTAATTCAGTTTTTCATGAAATTGTAGTGCAGTGATAAAGCTTTGAGTATATGAATGTAAATTAAAGCAGACAGCACACTGTACTTGCATACTGCTGCTTCCACTTCAGTTCTAGAGACAAGACAATAACACATTATTTGATCTTTACGATTTTTTTATTTGTGGAATTAGACAAGCTTTATGTTCTCTTGTGTTGACAGTTAATCCAATTGGATGTGGTTCATCCATCATGTTTGTATGCTGACATTACCCTAGCATGGCTGTCGATCACAAAGAATTGCTGTCCTTTAGTTACGCAGGACGTGCACCAACAATTGGTCATCATTTGAAATGTCTCACTCTTAGGGCTGGACTGGGACAAAAAAATCGGCCCTAGCATTTTTTGGTCCAGACGGCACACCACCACATATAGGTATAACATATATATGGTATATATCCCCCAAAGAAAAGAAGCTAAAAGGTCAAAGTATAATTTCCAATTAATAAAAATAAGTATGCAACTGTGTACAACATATAGGCTACTATAATTGAAAATGTTGCCAGTAACCCTCACACTAAGGGACAGCAAAGACCTCCTTAAAGAATGCAACCTTTATAAGAATAAGAGAGGAAGGTGGAGAATAAGTTAATAAATTGTGATTTTTTTTTTAACACAGCTAATTAATATTAATTTAATATTAAAAGTTAAGTATTTGAATATATTGCAAACTCACAAAATAAAAAATGGTGTGAATATCCCAGCTCATTGTTTTGGATAAGAATAAAACGTCAGGCCATATTTAAATCTAGATTTATTAGCATTGGCCCATGGAAACCTCTGTGAACACACTTGACTTGGTCAAAAAAAGAGCAAGGGACGAATTTTCGTTTTATTAAAAAGTGTTTTCGTATTCTACACTCGTGGCGGACACACACATTAGGACAGGTTAGATTAGAACACAATTTTTTTCAGTGTCTTAATCAGTTTTAGTTCAGTACTTGACGATTAAATCTGGTTTCCAGCTTTACATAAACCCGACTAAACCAGACCACTTCCATTAGAAACCTGTTCAGGACAATCTCTTATATTTCTATCTCTTACCTGCGAGTATCAGATGTGTCCACAAAGGTTTTTGAACAGCTCAATAATTATTCTGTTTCAGGCGTTGATCAAGCGAGTTGCACTCTGATTTCTCTGAATCTCTCACTGAAGTACAGTTATGTCAGTGTTCCTGTGTATTTACATTCAGTGTTGGGGAAAGTTTCTTTTAAAAGTAATGCATTACAATATTGCGTTACTCCATAAAAAAAGTAACTAATTACGTTACTTAGTTACTTTTTATGGAAAGTAATGCGTTACGTTACTTTTGCGTTACTTTTTAAATCTGGACAGGGCTTGCTTGTTTGTTTTTAAAATAAAAAAGTTCTATTTTTGGCAAATATAAAAGCCTTTTCACACCAAAAGTGAAATGAATGCGCCTCAGGCTGAAGGGAAAGTAAATTTGTGTCCGTACAGTAGAATGCAGAAGAAGACATTTCAACACACTTCAGCAATATAAAAAAAGACACAAATGTTTGTCTAGAGTGATTTTTGCTTATTAGTACGGTTGAACTGAATCATCGAAGGTCAGAAGCAAAGACATTGGTTAATAGAATGGGATTAAATACAAAGTATATTTGTGTTGTTTAACATTTAATTATTGCAGGTTTGCGTTATATTCTGAGTTGCATTATTTTAATTAATTTTGAGGAATACTGAATCAGTTGTTTTTTTTTTTGTGAGTGAGTGAGATGTATTAATGCATATTCATATTTATTTTAGAACTACAGTAACATCTGATTTCTCTCAGTAAACATGTAAAAGATTATAGATTTTAAAAACTACGTATATGAACAATTAATCCTTTGAATAGTAGCACACACCATACATACCAGACCCAATAACATACATAATTAATACATTTTTTTGAATTATAAAAATAATTATTCATCCAGTATTTTATACAAGTGGTGTAAATGTATTTATTGTAACTGACTGGTGTGATGATCAGTGGGGATGAGTTCTGACCTCTATTATTGGAGCCTGGGCTAAAATATGGATAGAGTTTGTCTGTGAATGACTGACCAGTGAAAGAGTAGATAAGAGAGCTGGACTCCACATCATAAAAGGAGACCAGACCCTCCTCATAATCCACAAACACACCGACCCGCTGCCTTGTCTCTCTCACTCAGACACAGGGAGGTGAAGGGTTCAGCACAGGCAAAAAATTCCTTCCCTTTCCTCAGAACCACAGTCCAGTATCCATCCTCAGGTTTCAGTGTGATCTTTCCTTTCCTGGTCAGTGGATTCTCTGGCCACTCCTAAAGTCCAATCAGTCTTTCCTTGCACCTGCACCTCAAAATAAAATCTCTCTGAGGAGAATCCCTCCTTTCTCAGGACACAAGGATATGTATCAAATCTCTCTAGTTTGTCTGGTAGTTTCTGCTCAGTGTCTCCATGTCTCACTTGTTTTCCATCATCAGACAGGATGAGGTTTGGATGAGCTGTATCAGGATCCAGAGTCGCATCCACTGAGAAAACAGAGAATATGAATCACAACCTCAAAATAGATATTTTGTAATGACTAATCAATTGATTGATTCATTGTTTATAATTTAACGCCAGCTACCACAGCTATATTCATGGCGGGGAAAAAAGAGAAATATAAAACAACAAAATAAAAAAGGTTATTTTTAAAAAAAATTTATGTTTGATTAAAAAAAACAAATCTGGTCTCACTTTATTAAAAAAAATTTTTATAAGAATCAACTGAAAAATAAAGAGTCCTAAAAGAGTTCAAGACATCACAGTCCATTAAAATATGCTCAATGGACTCAAGAAAGGCAATAAAGGAGGATTTTCACCCATTAGCAAAATCTTATGGGTTTGTTTGAAGTGACCTGTTAGACAACAAATGTAGACAATACAGTCACAGTGATTATCAAAATTTAAATAACGTTTTGATATTTTGTAATGTTGTTTTAATAGGTAATTCAGTTTTTCATGAAATTGTAGTGCAGTGATAAAGCTTTGAGTATATGAATGTAAATTAAAGCAGACAGCACACTGTACTTGCATACTGCTGCTTCCACTTCAGTTCTAGAGACAAGACAATAACACATTATTTGATCTTTACGATTTTTTTATTTGTGGAATTAGACAAGCTTTATGTTCTCTTGTGTTGACAGTTAATCCAATTGGATGTGGTTCATCCATCATGTTTGTATGCTGACATTACCCTAGCATGGCTGTCGATCACAAAGAATTGCTGTCCTTTAGTTACGCAGGACGTGCACCAACAATTGGTCATCATTTGAAATGTCTCACTCTTAGGGCTGGACTGGGACAAAAAAATCGGCCCTAGCATTTTTTGGTCCAGACGGCACACCACCACATATAGGTATAACATATATATGGTATATATCCCCCAAAGAAAAGAAGCTAAAAGGTCAAAGTATAATTTCCAATTAATAAAAATAAGTATGCAACTGTGTACAACATATAGGCTACTATAATTGAAAATGTTGCCAGTAACCCTCACACTAAGGGACAGCAAAGACCTCCTTAAAGAATGCAACCTTTATAAGAATAAGAGAGGAAGGTGGAGAATAAGTTAATAAATTGTGATTTTTTTTTTAACACAGCTAATTAATATTAATTTAATATTAAAAGTTAAGTATTTGAATATATTGCAAACTCACAAAATAAAAAATGGTGTGAATATCCCAGCTCATTGTTTTGGATAAGAATAAAACGTCAGGCCATATTTAAATCTAGATTTATTAGCATTGGCCCATGGAAACCTCTGTGAACACACTTGACTTGGTCAAAAAAAGAGCAAGGGACGAATTTTCGTTTTATTAAAAAGTGTTTTCGTATTCTACACTCGTGGCGGACACACACATTAGGACAGGTTAGATTAGAACACAATTTTTTTCAGTGTCTTAATCAGTTTTAGTTCAGTACTTGACGATTAAATCTGGTTTCCAGCTTTACATAAACCCGACTAAACCAGACCACTTCCATTAGAAACCTGTTCAGGACAATCTCTTATATTTCTATCTCTTACCTGCGAGTATCAGATGTGTCCACAAAGGTTTTTGAACAGCTCAATAATTATTCTGTTTCAGGCGTTGATCAAGCGAGTTGCACTCTGATTTCTCTGAATCTCTCACTGAAGTACAGTTATGTCAGTGTTCCTGTGTATTTACATTCAGTGTTGGGGAAAGTTTCTTTTAAAAGTAATGCATTACAATATTGCGTTACTCCATAAAAAAAGTAACTAATTACGTTACTTAGTTACTTTTTATGGAAAGTAATGCGTTACGTTACTTTTGCGTTACTTTTTAAATCTGGACAGGGCTTGCTTGTTTGTTTTTAAAATAAAAAAGTTCTATTTTTGGCAAATATAAAAGCCTTTTCACACCAAAAGTGAAATGAATGCGCCTCAGGCTGAAGGGAAAGTAAATTTGTGTCCGTACAGTAGAATGCAGAAGAAGACATTTCAACACACTTCAGCAATATAAAAAAAGACACAAATGTTTGTCTAGAGTGATTTTTGCTTATTAGTACGGTTGAACTGAATCATCGAAGGTCAGAAGCAAAGACATTGGTTAATAGAATGGGATTAAATACAAAGTATATTTGTGTTGTTTAACATTTAATTATGGCAGGTTTGCGTCGTATTCTGCGCTGCATTATTTTTATTCATTTTGAGGAATACTGAATCTGTGTTTAGTTTTTTTTGTGAGTGAGATGAATTAATGCATATTCATATTTATTTTAGAAATACAGTAACATCTTCTGATTTCTGTCACCATGGCGACACCAGAGCTGTCAATCAATAAATTGGAAAAAAAAAAGTAACTTGCGTTACTTATTTGAAAAAGTAACTCAGATATTCTCTTGTAAATTAAAAAGTAATGCGTTACTTTAGTTACTTGAAAAAAGTAATCTGATTACATAACTCGCATTACTTGTAATGAGTTACCCCCAACACTGTTTACATTTCATTTAAATCTGTCCCTTGTATTTGGTGTGTTGGGTTCATTTGTGTCTGTTTGTATTGGGACTGATTTTTCTGCTGTTTCTGACAACTAATGATGGTTCTAAGAACAGCTTTCATTCGTTATTATGATTACTGTCCAAATGACGGAAGGTTACAATGTTTATTCCAAGAACTAGTCAACACAACGAATCATCGTCTTATTTCAGTTTTATTCAAAACAAGATGGTATAAAACAACAAAAAGTAAAGACATGACCAACTTTTTACATTAGCTACACAAGTTTTACAAACCAAAAGTGAAGGATATCCAAAAGCACGAGGGAAAGGGTTGGATCCACTGATACATCATCCATGTAACATCATAAATAAAAATATTCCATAATTATGAGCAGAATTGGAACCTCACGTCTGCAGTACATATCATGCAATAACAGGCAGATCTGAATCCATCAGAGAATAAAATTCACATGAGAGCTTCACAACAGTCGAGAAAGAAGCAAACACAAACATGGAGAAATGCAGTGTAAGATCCAGACGATCTAGACCGGAGAGAACTGGAGATGACTGAAGAGGTTTGGTTTGCATGAATATTATCCGGATTTATTAGGCCGAGTAATCCTGCAGAATCAAACAATAATACTGAGAAAAAACACTCAGGATACAGACATGACACAATAGGGTCTTACAAACAAAAGTGAAAGTTTCTATAGATAAGATATGCATTTATATATACACAAAACATATTTTAGTACATCTAAACTTACTGCTCTGGGTTTCTTGTTCATCTTCAAATCAAATCTGTAAGAAAAAAACATAAATTAACAAGAGGCCCATCAAGGTCAGATAAACAAATGAACCCGTTTAAACCCCTGCATGCAACTAACTATAAACCCATCATGTCTATGAATTCCACAAACATGCAGCTGAAAAATAATGGTAAAACCAAGCAAAACCAAAAAAGAAACTGCAGCAACATCTGCGAATGCTCAGGTAGAAGCAAGCGTCATAGCATTCATCCACGCGACGTGGACGGCCCCAGCAGCTAACGGACAGAAGACACGGGAGTAAGAAACAGGAAATAAAATTGAGACTTACTCAAAGTCATAATCAAACATGCCAGAAGGGCTGAAGGGGGCAGCGTTAGGAAGGAAGAGAGCATCAGAGGTTAGTGCACTACACTGAGCAGCACATCCTTCTGAGAACAATGATTTTAGACCCATAGTACTAACTTCAATCGTAATGAAATGCTTCGAGAAATATATTGTGTCCATTTTGAAAAGTGAAGTATCCTCAAAACTAGATCCATGGCAGTTTGCTTATAAACAGGGCAGAAGTGCAGAAGATGCAGTTGGAAGTATTATCCATTTAGTCTCTAAACATCTGGAGGACCCAAAGGCATATACACGTCTTCTTTTTATTGATTTTAGCTCAGCTTTTAACACTGTGCTACCTTATTTATTATTAGAGAAATTGAAACGTATGGATGTAAACCCTAATATTATAAGATGTTTTTTTTCTTTCTTAACGGGTAGAACCCAACAGGTTAAGGTCAATAAGACGATCTCTGACTTACAGTATATTAGTACAGGAGTACCTCAAGGATGTGTGAGTTCCTCAGTTCTCTTCACATTATATACAGATGGTTGTGTGAGCAAATATGATAATAACCACATTGTGAAATTTAGTGATGACACCGCTATTCTTAGTTTATTATATAAAGATCAAGACATTTTGTTTGGTGATCTGAAACATTAAAGTGTGACAAACATGCAAAAAAAAAAAGAAATCAGGAAGGGGGCCAACACTTTTTCACACCACTGTATGTATGCATGTATATATAGATATGTATGTATATATATATACATACAATAATTAATTTTTTTTTCCCTTTACTACTGTGTGTTGTATGTGATGTGGTGGTTGTATTTCTGAGCCCAAGACAAATTTCCCTCAGGGACAATACAGTGTACCTAACCTAACCTAACCTAATCCCACAGTCCACTCCATAGGGTGTCAATGCGTGGATTTATACCTTCAGTAGTACACTAGATGAACAACAGGACAGACACTAATGCATCCTCTCTAGTGTGTTAGTAAATATAGGACCCTAACTAGTGCTCATCTTATTTTATCTGAAGTGATCCTGGATGCAACCATCAGTTTCCAAAAGAAAGACAGAAAGATCAAGCAATTCAAAACTTGTTAATGGCTGGCATATGTAACGGATATAAAATTATTAAAAATGTAATTTAATTAAAAATATAACTAAAAATTGCTTAATTTAAATTTTTCATTTAATTTTTGTATTTTGTGCCTATAACATATTACTTTGCCATTTTCCTCCTCATATTTTTGAGGCAAACCATACACGACAAACTTTGATTTCATTCATTAAATATTCATTGTGGCAACCAATAGTGTTTCTTTTGAAAGTGAAAGTGACATGTGGCCAAGTATGGTGACCCATACTTGGAATTAGTGCTCTGCATTTACCCATCCAAAGTGCACACACACAGCAGTTATCTATCTACCTACCTACCTACCTATCTATCTACCTACCTACCTACCTATCTACCTACCTACCTACCTACCTACCTATCTACCAACCTACCTACCTACCTACCTTCCTATCTATCTATCTACCTACTTATCTACCTACCTACCTATCTACCTACCTACCTACCTACCTACCTATCTTATACACATATATACACATACATATACATACATACACATACACATATATACACGTACATATATATATATATATATATATACACACACATACATACATATATTATACACACACACACACACAAAGAAAAACAGAATAGAAAAAATAGAAAGCTAGTGTTTGTTAGTTTTTTGTTGTTGTTTTTTTTTTAATTAAAAATAAAACAAAAAAAGATAAATATAGATAAAGTAGAATTAAAATAGAATAGAAAGTGCTAGAGTTAGAGGGTCAAATAAAGGTGTATATATTACTGACTGTCTTCATATCTCAAGGCTGGTCGTGTGCCCCATAGCTTCCAGAGATTAAGCCCAGGACCTGATGCTTATAACCTCCAGACATCTCTACTTTACAAGCACGATTTTAACAGAGGAGAATCCAGAATGTTTCGTCTGCCTGTTGCAGTAAAGAGGGAAAAACCAAAAAATGAAAATCCTGCACCAAATCAATATGATGTATGTATCACCCAGCATGCATCTCGGTTGTTATTTGTCACAGTGAAAGCTTACAGTTTGGTAAAAAAAAAATATTTTAATTTTAGTTTATGTTTTTATATTTAAGATATTTAATTTAAAATATGGTCAGTGTCAATAATGTTGTGAAATATTATTACAATTTAAAATAATTGCTTTCTATTTGAACATATTTAAAAATGTAATTTATTCCTGTCATGCAAAGCTGAATTTTCAGTCTTCAGTGTCACATGATCCTTTCAGAAATCATTCTAATATGCTGATTTGCTGCTCAAGAAACATTTCTGTTACTATCAATGTTGAAAGCTTCCTAACATTTTTGTAAAATCAGTGATACGTGTTTTACTCAAGATTCTTTAATGAATAGAATGTTCACAAGAATTTGAAATATAAATCTTTTGTAACATTATAAATGTCTTTATTGTCAAAAAAAATCAAAAAAATCTTACTGACACCAAACTTTTGAGTGGTAGTGTATAATTTATTTATTTAGATTTTTTACTTAATTTATTTATTTGCTGTCTATCAATGTTGAAAGCTTCCTAACATTTTTGTAAAATCAGTGATACGTGTTTTACTCAAGATTCTGTAATGAATAGAATGTTCACAAGAATTTGAAATATAAATCTTTTGTAACATTATAAATGTCTTTATTGTCAAAAAAAATCAAAAAAATCTTACTGACACCAAACTTTTGAGTGGTAGTGTATAATTTATTTATTTAGATTTTTTACTTAATTTATTTATTTGCTGTCAGGTGTCTTATAGTGGCGTGGACAAAAATTCAACCGTTTCAGCTCAAAGTGCATTTCGCTCTAAAACCAGACGGAGTGCCAGTGTCTCAGACAACTTTAAAGGACCCTCTCCCTGTGAGTAACTCGCATATTTGACCAGTTTTAGATGAAGATAATTAAGTTAGAGGTACAATACGAACAGTTAAAACCCTTCAGTAATTCTGAGGTTAAAAACAACATTATATTTGAAGTTTTGTCGTTTTTTTCAAGAGTGTGAATGTATGTTTGCATGCACACATAATTACAACCACTGTACGTATTTTAAATTCAGTAGTGAAAAGAGGTGTTATATTCATTAGAAAAGAAGAGATATTCTTGTGCCATTACTTTGTCTGGTTCTAATTACAGTCAGATATTGTGATGCTATTAATTTATTTGTTCACATGCTCATATTTAATTTTTAGATGAAGATAATTAAGTTAGAGGTACAATACGAACAGTTAAAACCCTTCAGTAATTCTGAGGTTAAAAACAACATTATATTTGAAGTTTTGTCGTTTTTTCAAGAGTGTGAATGTATGTTTGCATGCACACATAATTACAACCACTGTACGTATTTTAAATTCAGTAGTGAAAAGAGGTGTTATATTCATTAGAAAAGAAGAGATATTCTTGTGCCATTACTTTGTCTGGTTCTAATTACAGTCAGATATTGTGATGCTATTAATTTATTTGTTCACATGCTCATATTTAAAACTCTCAATCTACTCAAATCATTGTGAAAAACAAACAATAGAAATTACGGTTGATGAATCCATCTCTGTCCTTGTTCTGAAGGCCACTATAACGTGAGTGACGCTTCGCTCCAGAAGATGCCTCAAGTTCCTTTCTCCTGTTTTAAATCCACCACTTCCCGGATCCAGTCACCAGTGAGGAACAACATCCCGGGTCCCGGGACCTATAACCCCTATCAACCACCAGAACCTGTGAAGAGAACCGTTCTGCCGTAAGTGTTCGGACAGATCTGCAATCATTTTACACGCATAAGGGTTCTCTTTCATGTTGTTAAGAGCAATAATGCACTGGTTACATGTACTTTTATATAATGATTTTTGGCTATTTATATATTGCCAGCCAAGAATTTCATCACAATGCACAGATATTTTTTGAATATATTTATGTATAAAAACAGCTGCTTTTATCACAAACTCGTTTTCAAAAGCAGAATAAGAATAGTCTTGGATATCTCAGATGTCTCGTTCTTCATATTGGATTAAGAGGATTTATATGCGTCACATGAGATGATCAGTGTCTTATATTTTTGCAGAAGGAGACACTTCTTGGGATTATCAGCGCCACCTCTGATACCCACCAAAGACCCACCCTTCCCAGGCCCGGGACATTATGACATAGTGAACTACAATCGTCCGGTCAAACACCTCGTATCTAGCGCTGCCTTCCTGTCTGGGACAAGCAGGTGGATACAGGACGTCAAAGGACAGGATATGCCTGGTCCAGGTAACACTTACATAATCTTTACTTCATTTACAAACAAGACTTCTGTTGTTGTTGTCTGTGGAGTTTTAACTTTTAACTTCCTCCTCCCAGGTTTCTATGAACCCATGGTCCTTTCAAAGACGTCGTTCTTGTATAATCCTGCAAAAATGTGGATACCAGCTTAAACAAACTTATTTTAAACAAGTTTTAGTAAACCGTTTAATACAGATTTTAAGTATTTGAGTGCTCATGTCTCATAAAATGTCGGTCTTAATAAGATTATTATTTTAATTTAGAATTTTTATAATGTATTACAAGTCAACTGTGCTTACAAATTGCTGTAATGACGAGATACACACTGGCAATCAAAAGTTTGAAATAATTAAGATATTTAAATAAGTCTTTAATAAGTCTCTTATGCTCACCAAGGCTGCGTTTATTTGATCAAAATTACAGTAAAATACTGTGAAATATTATTACAATTTAAACTATCTTTTCTGTATGAATAGAGTTTTTATTTCTGTGACACAGCATCATCATTTTCAGCATCATTACTTCAGTCACACAATCCTTCAGAAATCATTCTAATATGCTGATTTTGTTGTTATTATCTATATTATTACATTATCTACAGTATATTATTATGTTGATTTTAAAATTATATTTTTATGGAAACCATAAAAATGTCTGGGGTAAGCATGACTTAAAATAAGAAAAAAAATCTATACTTTTATTCAGCAAGGATGCATTCAATTGATCAAAAGTGACCGTAAAGACATTTATAATATTACAACAAAAAAATCTATTTTAAATAAATGCACTGATAAAAGTTCCATTAACTTTGTATTTAACAATGAAGCCTGAAAAATGTATCATGGTTTTCACAAAAAAATATTAAGCAGGGAAAACATTGCAGCGAAAACATTTTAAACATCGATAATAATATAATAATAGGACTATTATTAATAACTGAGCATATTAGAATGATATCTGAAGGATCATGTGACACTGACAGCTGAAGTAATGGCTGCTAAAATTCAGCTTTGCATCACAGGAATAAATAGCATTTTAAAATGCATTACAATAGAAAAATAGTTCACATTGTAATAATATTTCACAATATTACTGTATTTTTGATCAAATCTGCAGACTTGGCCTCTAAGCGAATCAAAGCATTCTCAGAAACATGGAGCTGCTTTCTCTGTCTGAGTCACGTCTGAACAGCTGAAAGTCAAAGCAGACACAGCTGAGATCCAAACCCTTGATCCCTCAGCAGCTGATCCTGGACCTGCTGGACAGTGAATATGATGATTTGAGTGATGCGCTTCAGCTGATTCTGGGTCAGTGGTACAATCCCAGGGTGGGAGCAGCTGTTGCGGGACTAGAGGAGGGTGTGGAGGTCTGCGCTCATCTGAACAATGCAAAAATCTATGTGGGGATTTCAGACGGTCATGACATGAAAATGACCTCTGGAGCGTTACTGAATGACCTCTGGACAAGTTCAACATTATTTATAAAAGTTATTCATCAGGTCTGTTCTGGGCTGATTAATGGGCTTTATCTGCTTAAACATTTATAGATTATGATGTAACAGTATAAAAGATTATTCATTTATGAGAACAGTTACTTATTGGCTACAAAATATAATAGATAATTGCTCACCAATGCTGCATTTATTTGTTCAAAAATATAGTAAAAACAGTAATATTTTGAAATATTGTTACAATTTAATAGAACCGTTTTCTATATTTCACTATAAAAAATAGAATTTATTTCTGTGTTGGTAAAGCTGAATTTTCAGCATCATTACTCCAGTCTTCAGTGTCACATGATCCTTCAGAAATCATTCACATATGCTGATTTGCTGCTCAAGAAGCATTTATTATTATTATCAATGTTACGAAACAGTTGTGCTGCTTAATATTTGTGTGGAAACCATGCATGATGCATTTTTTCAGCATTCTTTGATGAATAGAAAGGAATAGAATGAAACAGATTTTTTATTATAAATGTCTTCGCCATCACTTTTGATCAGTTTAATGCATCCTTTGCTGAATAAAAGTATATATATTTATTTAAAAAATAAAAAAATCTTACTGACCCGACTCCGTTACTGAATGACCTCTGGACAAGTTCAACATTATTTATAAAAGTTATTCATCAGGTCTGTTCTGGGCTGATTAATGGGCTTTATCTGCTTAAACATTTATAGATTATGATGTAACAGTATAAAAGATTATTCATTTATGAGAACAGTTACTTATTGGCTACAAAATATAATAGATAATTGCTCACCAATGCTGCATTTATTTGTTCAAAAATATAGTAAAAACAGTAATATTTTGAAATATTGTTACAATTTAATAGAACCGTTTTCTATATTTCACTATAAAAAATAGAATTTATTTCCGTGTTGGTAAAGCTGAATTTTCAGCATCATTACTCCAGTCTTCAGTGTCACATGATCCTTCAGAAATCATTCACATATGCTGATTTGCTGCTCAAGAAGCATTTATTATTATTATCAATGTTACGAAACAGTTGTGCTGCTTAATATTTGTGTGGAAACCATGCATGATGCATTTTTTCAGCATTCTTTGATGAATAGAAAGGAATAGAATGAAACAGATTTTTTATTATAAATGTCTTCGCCATCACTTTTGATCAGTTTAATGCATCCTTTGCTGAATAAAAGTATATATATTTATTTAAAAAATAAAAAAATCTTACTGACCCGAAATTTCTTAAAGGTGCGGTGTATATGCAAATAATTTTTAATGATAATTATGAGTACATATATAATAAATGTTCTCAAAACTCACTGCCAGGATTCTAGGGTGTTCTGGGTGGTTGCCGGGTCGTTGTTATGCGGTTACTAAGGTGTTCTTAGTGGAATGCTTTGCAGTTGCTAGGGTGGTTGCTAGGTGATTACTTACTTTAGAACTGTCCATGAATGGTTCTTTGGGGAACCATAATTGGTTCTTCTATGACGTAAATGGGAAAAACCCCTTTTGAACCTTTTATCTTACTTTGTTTCATTCAGTACTAGATCTTTTCAGTATGGGAGGCCTTGCAGTAAAATTCAGTACAGTTGGTGAAATATTTGGAGTAATAAAAGAGTGCAGTTATGTAGAATGTTGTCCACCCATCCCATATGTCGCCTGTTGCTGATATCTCAAACCCTGCAGCTGTTCAACCACCCCCGTCAACAGCTGTGAATATATTCAAATGCTGACCTCACCATTGTCCAAAACAGCGTATCTATATTATCATGTGTACATCTTACAGATTTCATAAACTGATCTTAGCTGTTAAAATGATGTGATGTTTTTGAGAGCTCATGTTTCTTGTGATCATCCTATTGGCCAACATACTCTAAAAAGTTCCTTGTACATCTCCAATAATAATTCCAATAATTTTTGTTTTACTTACAACTTCAAATAATTTTTTTTTTACAGTGTAACTGAAATAAAATAAGTTTTATAAGTCCAAAATGGCTCAAACTAAACCTAAAATAAAAATACGTTAAAGCTAAATAGACATTTGTTTTTTTTTTTAAACTGAAGCGAATAAAGATGAAAATATAATAAAATGAAAATAAAAACTGAAAATATCAAAATAAAATCCAATTCAAAATATTTACAAGTTTAATAGTACAGAAATAAAACCAATTTAGATTTGTTTTAAACTATTCTTCATCTTAAAGGGATAGTTCACCCAAAAAATTATGTTTAATTACTCGCCCTCATGTCGTTTCAAACATGTAAGACCTTCGTTCATCTTCGGAACACAAATGAAGATATTTTTGATGAATTGCGAGAGCTCTCTGACCCTCCCATAGACAGCAAGGAAGCTACGAGAATACTTTTTGTGTGCAAAGAAAACAAAAATAACGACTTTATTCAACAATTCGTCTCCTCCGCGTCACCCTATAGTGCCATTTTGGAGAGTATCACATACGTAAACAACGTATGCAACGTCTGTACGCAGATACGTTGTTTGCGCTTTGATCTGAACGTAAATGCGTTCATACGTTGCATACGTTCTTTACATATGTGATACTCATTTGTAAATCCTTAAAGTAACTTAGCTATAACGAGAGAGCATATCTAAATCCATTTTGTGTTTCCAATCATTTAAATCTAGGCCTACTGCTTATATATGACATTGGATTAAACAAGATAATGCATTTCCAGTATTATTGACATTACTATAACAGAAGGCCACACCTGAGATCCATTCAAGATACACTAAAGTGCAGTGAAGGTGTTTTGAAGGAAATCCCAGCAGCTTCTTCAAACTGGGCTTCAAAAAAGCCTCAAATTTGCCCTTGATCTTTCAGTGATGGATGGTGCGTCTTAGTTGTTGAGAGTAGATCACAAAATACCTTCAATCATATCAGATTTTATGTCCAACCTCTTCACTATCTAGTGAAGTGAAGACCACATTAGAAGAGTATTTTGATGTGAGATCTTCACAAAGCACTGCACAGATTACATAAAACCCATCAGCATCTGCTCATAAATAAACTTGATTTACGTTTTAAAGCTTATTTGTGGTTTAAGGCTGTCCACTGTGGCCCAACCTGACCGCATGCTCACATATGTCATGTCAACAAAGCATCTTTTTATCTCATGCGTCGTTCTCCATGGCAGCGAGACATAACTGAGATGATTTTAGGAAGGGTACGCAATGAGTGCACTATGACACACATCCCTGGGCTTCTGTGCTGTACAGATCTTAATTGTTTAACTCATGACTGATGGATCTACATTTATCTCCAAATGCCCTCGAGCAGGGACTGAAAGCAGTCTGAGAAACTCTCCGCCTGACTGCGGCACTTGCTGTGTTTTGACCCATGCGTTATTTTTATGTTTGTTTTAGCTAATCGGTTTTAAGCTGCGTTTTTTTAACCACTTAAATGACTATGTTTGGAAATGTAGATTATTGACACTAATGCAAGTGGTTTAGTGCAGGTATGCTCCACTAGTTTGGTGTTGGTAGGGTTATATCAGTGGTACCAGATGGCTGATTTGCATCGTGCTGCTTTAATGGCCTGATTTCAACTCTTAAATGCTCTAGTTACAGTATTAAATAAGACCAGACTCACACTGGTTTACACATGATCCAATCCAGTGGGAACTGTAATGACATTTCCAGCCGTCTCAGATTGGTGTGGTCTCAGTTATAAGGGTCTGATGGTCTTTTACTGGCACTGTACCAATTATTATAATTCAGGTCTCAGACATGGTTCATTTTAGTACGTATTTATGGAGAGAACTGTACTTTTTGAACTATTGTCTGCAATCCATGTTATTCTATCATTGAGATACTATTATAGTTTTTTTTATATATATATATATATTTTTTATTTTTATTTTGTGTTTTTCATTTCCATTAAAATTTTAGTAATTCTGTTTTGTTTTTTGTTTGTTTTTGTCATTTTTATTAGTTATTGTTTTGGGGGGGGGGTAATCTGTTAGTCTATCTATACAGTATTTGTTCATTTTTATTTCAGTTGTAGTTTTAGTTATTTTAGTACATCAAGTTCAAATGAAAATGAGAAATGTTGGCAACTAGCTGAAAGAAGAAAAACATATTTTTTTATTTTTTAGATTTTGTTTCATTTTAGTTAACGTTCTTATTTCAGGTAAAATTTATTTTTACAGTTTAGTTTTAGTTTACTATAATATACATATATATATATATATATATATATAATTGCAGACAGGGTTATTATGTATTTATTTTATATAGCTATATATAGCAGAATACAAAACATTTATTTTTACAGTTTAGTTTTAGTTAACTATAATAACCCTGTCTGCAATTTTATTTATATATATATATATATATATATATATATATATATATATAGCAGAATACGAAAAAAAATCAATACAAACTTCATTTTTTAAAATAAATAAATAAATACTGGTAGTAGTAGTAGTAGTAGTAGCATTTATTACATTTAATTAAAATATTAAGCATTTTTACTGATTTTTTTTTTTGGCAAAATGCACATATTTTACTTTTTTAATAATTTATGAAATTAAATATATTGCGTTTGCAGGCCCACCAGGTCATAGTGTACATTTGATGATGACTAAAATATGGGATCCACTTCAGTTTTCCAGCGGGACGCATTAAAGGACGTGTACCCTTGTGCCTCCATCCTGATGCCGCAGATCCAGCTTTTAGAAACCGAGAGGGGGAGCCATTCTGCAAAATTAAAAACCTGCCTTTTCTTTCACAGCACATGAGAAGACTCCAGAATTATTCTAAATGTATTTAAGAGAATTCTAGCTATAAAACTAGAAACAGTGTATATAAACATGAATAACCTTTTCAAATGCGCTAACTGCGTGTCAGTTTCCCCCATCCAGGTGAATGGTACACTCCAGTGGATAGCCCGAGAGCGTCCAGCATCGAGCCGCTGTATTCAGCTAGCGGCTGCTGTGCGGTGGGTAGGGCCCCGGACCTGGGCCCCCCTCTTTCTCTATCTTTAGTTTTCATAGCTGAGATCACACATTTCAGTGGGAATAACGAATGTAATCAATCATCGATCGTATTACTCTATTAATTGAGCGCAACTGTTTGTTATTGACCAGATTTAAAGGGCCACTGCATTCGGGTGTGTTCATAAGTGGGAGTTCCTCTTTTTTACGCGTCTCTTTTGGACCCTGTAATGGAATAACTGAGACTGCAAACCATGAACAAAATGGAGAACAAGGCTCTAGAGAGCAGCTTTGAAGAAAAACTTACGCTGTCAGACAAAGGTAAGTACAACTGAATTTTAAAAAATAGGTATAAAATGTCCATGAACCCCTGGATAAACGCACTGGTGGTCAAAAGACGCAGAATATATTGCTAGAGAATTAATATGTGCGCATATTTTCAGTCATGTCATGTTGTTTATATTTTGTATAAACCTGTTATTATGTTAAAGCTTGTTCATTTAGGTTTCTGTGCCACCTGTCATTAAGAAAACAACAAAAGTAACGGCCCATATGCGCGTGAGCTGGATAACGGGTTTTCGCATTTCAGTGAGCACAATTTGGCGTTTAATGTCAGCACTCTTAATTTGTTGTACCTAACACGATTCGTACATTATATTAGCTGTTTTGTTTGATCATTACTATATTTCCACGAGAAAAGCATCCGAGCGTTTATACATGGTTTCATGGACTTAAATGCGGTATACCGGTGTGCGCAAAATAGCTACGCGCATGTCTAATTAACCGCTACCTGTCTATTACAGCCCGTATTAATAAGCACCAAATGAAAGCCCACAGATTTTTTTGTTGTTGCATCATGATTAATCCGTCTATTGCAATGTTATGACACAGAACTCAATGTGATCCAGCAATTCGAAACTACAAAAATATATGTTCTTAATCAGTATGTTATATTGTTTGCCAGTAAAACAATATCTAAACACCCTTAAAACAAGATTAACTGACTTATGCTAAATTTTAAGCAATTTGCCAATGGGTTAAAATACATTATATATTGATTATCCTATCATTTTGTTTCTTAAGTAAATGAGGAATTTTTGTTTTAAAGAGTTATCAATATTTTTTATATATAATATTGATCTTATATTTATTAATCTATAGGCTATCTTTTATTAATAGGACAAAGATACTGATTCCCAACTTTCCAGGCATGCAGATAATGTTGGATTTTCTTTTACATGCAAGAGGGAAGATTTAAGGCTGCTCTGTGCCTGCTCAAAATTCTGTGTAAAGTCACAATGCCGCATAAAACCCAGGCTAAGTTATACCTGTTCCAAACGTGCAATTGCTTTGTAAATGCATTTATGCCACTTCTGTGCAGCATTAAACAGACACCTAAATGCCACCTCAGAAACACTTCTGTGCCACCTTTGTAGTGCAAATTTGATGTAGCTTTATTAATTTTGAGTGGGATCATATTTGAAATGTATTCTGTAGAATCATTTTTATAGATCCAGGTATGAAACCCAGAGGTAGCAGGTTCAAATCCCGTAAGGCATAATTTATGATCTACAGCTATTGTGTCCTATAGCAATGCATTTAACCTCAGGCTAGTTATAATGCAATGTAAGCTGCTTTGAAAGAAAGTGTCTTCTGAAATAGGATGCAATCCCTTAGGTTTTACTAGAGTCCTCTAATAAATGAACTTTAACGGCAAGGTCAAATGCTGCCTCCAGATGTGTGGTTGCAGGTAGAGCAACGCCAGTAGATCGGTGTATTATACTAAGGAAACATCTAGTCATTATCTCACGAGATCTTAGTTTGAGCACATTCCTGTCTCTTGGTATGTGTAGTTTTAAATCAGGTTGTTTTGAACTGGCAGAATGCACCAAAAGAGGAGGAAACTTGTAAGCGCATTCCTATGTGATGACTGTGTTAAAGACAGTCCTCGTTCTCAACTCTCTTGACCCGGGCCAGTAAACTACAACCTAGCAACCCCCCAGAACACCTTAGCATCATGATGATGATAATTAGTATTACATTGTAAAGCACCTTTAATGTTATATTGATCTGCCCTGCCATTCTTGTGGCTCTTTAATAACCTCATTCCTGCTTTTTTAAAAGACCTTACTCAGTTCCTTCCACATTTTTTCCTGTATCAGTTATTCACATCCTGTGAAGGCAAAGCTGATTTTAGATCAGTGGCAGCTATGTCTCACACCTTGGGCCATCTGAGTCACGGACACCAGTGTGGCATTATTATCAGCTCTGATGGAGGTCTTGTGCTGTAGCCTGAGGCTCAGAGAGCCAGAGAGAGATAGACAGGTCAGAGAATCCTCTGTACAGCAACATTGATTGCTTTGTAGTGAGTGTTTTGGGCACAGGACCAAGATTCTCCAAGACTGAACTTGTTCAAAGGGACACTGTTTCCCCATCACAGATGAGTCTCTACAAAGACTGTCAGGTTTTCTCTCTCACACACTGCAAGACATTTTCTTATGCTGCACAGACAATAGGATTCTGCTTCATAACATAGAACTTTATTTTGCACTATTTTTATTTTGCTGTCTTGTTTAGAGTAAACCTAGAGATAGCCAATAAACCTAGTTTAGAGAGCCAATAAGAACCTAGAGTGTTTTGGAACCTTTTGCCATACGAGAACCTTTAGGTCATACATTTTTTTTTTTATTGTTTTATTTCCAATACTAGTTGCTAATTTTGTGGCTATAACGTCATACTGATTGCTTTGTAGTTTTTTATATGTAGTTCAGTATGGTGACATACTTCAAATCTGCAGAAGCTGCAGTACAAATGTTTATCCACATACAAGTTTGCAAGGTATGGGCACATGCATAAAATCTCCAACTCACAAACCAAATGTCAATGTCTTAAGAAGAAAAGGGTACTTTGCTGAAACTAAAGTGCTGCAGAGAAGCATTAAATAGCCTTTTTTTAAGACTAGGCCTAGATGAGAAAGGGTTTATTTCCTGTGGGATGGAGTTATTGTTCAAGCCAAAGGCTCTTGTCTGTGTTAGTAATGTATGACGTGGATATTCTCATTCTCAGACACTCAGAGCCAATGACGAAATATTTCCTGCTTTTTTTTCCAAGAGGTCTTGGAGAATTGGAAATTTCGATATCCGGCCAAAGTGGCCAGCTCAGCAGACTGCGTGGGATTATTGCGACAGGTTTTAGCTAAGAATTTCATCATAATATTACCCAACAGAGTGCTATAACAAAACAAAAATGCTTTAAAAGCATTTTCCTGCTAAACTAATAACCTACAAAGCTTTCAGAGGGGATTTGAACTGTATCCTAATCATCTAAATCTGCAAATCATACAACTGTTGTAAAAAATGTAGATAATAGATATAGGTATAGATATAGAAACCCAAAAACCCCATTTTCACTTCTGCTTTCAGTGGAAAATATGAGTTGTTTGTGGCATATGACCACATTTGTATGATTTTGTGGTTCAAACATCATGGCAGTCGGTGTAGTCCATGAGTAATCGTGACTGTTTTCACCATAATGTCGTTGTATACTAGTAGACCAAGTAATGAGAGAGGATGACTTCTATTTTTGGAGGTATCTTTGGCAAGAGCTGTGTCATAACCGTGTGGGAAGACGGAAAAGGAAAGGGAGGAGGAAGGAATAGAGAGAGGAGGGAAGCAGCAGCATGGAAGGATTTCATTTAGATGTGAGATGTTGGTTTCCAGAAGCCTGAATCTGAAGTTTTATGTGAGCGGAAAAGCAACAAAATGAAAGAAAAAACGAGAACTATAGAGTGCTATAAAAATTTGCCTGGAAACAGTTTGGATTGTAGTAATAGATGGGAAACTATATGTTTTTAATATGATTTGTGCGCTGAATTGATATCAGACATTGAATTTACAAGAACTTAACTGTATAGTTTTCGCGAGTTGCTATATTGTTCTTTGGAGATAAAACATTATTTTTTAAATATAGGATCTTCAGTATTTTGGTTTCTGGGTTCTTAAAAGCACTGATATAAAGCAAAAACCCTTTCTAGAGTGTTTAGTGGAATTTTTAAGAAGTTGTATATAGAGATATCTCAAAGATATCCACCAATGATGGATTTGTTTCTTATTAATCTTTTTGCTTCACAAACCGTTAGTTGATGGACTGGAGTCATGTGGATTACTTTGATTTTTTTGGTTTTTATCAGCTGTTTGGACTCTCATTCTGACGGCACCTATTAGGGTTGTGACGGTGAGGAAATTTTCCCACCGGTTAATCGACGTGTGACAACACCGGTAATACCGGTATCTCCGTTGGGGTGGGGGGGGTGTTAGTTAGTTTGATTTTCCCTCTTTTCTTCGCTTTCAAATGGCTTGTGAAAGTGCCGTGTGCATTTTACTTTCACTTTCAAATTAGCGGCAATTGAATTGCTGCAATTCGGCGTCAAGCAATTGTCCGTTTGAGCTTTCCCTCTTTTCCTCAGATTTCTTGGCTTTCAAATAGCTTGAAAAAGCACTGTGCGCATTTTACTTTCACTTTCAAATTAGCGGCAATTCGGCGTTGATTCAATTCAAGCAACAACAACGTCAAACTCATAGAACTTTTATTAACAAAACGAATAAAAATACACCATATATGCCCAGTGTTGGGGGTAACTATAAAATTACATTACTATACTATTACAAGTAATGCGAGTTACGTAATCAGATTACTTTTTTCAAGTAACTGGTAAAGTAATGCATTACTTTTTTAATTTACAAGAAAATATCTGAGTTACTTTTTCAAAAAAGTAATGCCAGTTACTTTGTTTTCCCATTTATTGACTGACAAGTCTCCTGTCCCCTTAGTTTTTAAAAGTGTCTGTCCTCTAACTGAACTAGGCTAAATGATTTTTGTTACTATAAAAAAAATCAAAACGACGGTGGGGGCCAGTGCCGTGGTAGGCAAATTACGTAACCGGTGTTGCGGCTTAACACCGGTATAACCGAAAACACAGGCTATCGCAGCAAGCTTAGCACCTATTCACTGCAGAGGATCCATTGGTGAGCAAGTCATGTAATGCTAAATTTCTCCAAATGTGTTCCCATGAAGAAACAAAAAACCCTCAGGTCATTCATGATGTGTTTGTCATCAGATTTTCATTTTTGTGTGAACTATTCCTTTAAGAAGCAATAGACAGACGATGAAGTCATTTTTACATGGAGAAACACGCTCCAAACTTTATTTACCCTAAAGCTCAAAATGATGGCATGCACTGATGTTTTAGATCTCAGAGGCATTTCTTTTTAAACTGATGGTGTGCACCTTGAAATTAGAGAGTAATCGTCTTAATCTGCAGT